AATCTGGGTTTCTGCTCTGTGAGGGTCCCTGAGCACAGGCCTTTAGCCACATTCTCACCACCCGCATAGGGAACAGTACCTGGCCATGGGATAGAACAAGTGCATGGGAGGACAGAGAGAGGAGGGAAGCTGATGCCCCCGGCAGGGATGCTCATGCTGCCTGCTGCAGCCAATCGGGTAGAACCCAGCGCCTGTGGTCTAGGATCTTTCCTTCCATTAAGGTCAACAGGGCAAAATAAGACTCAAAACCCAACAGGCTTCGAAGACATCACCTTTCAGTACTCCACCCAGCTCCGCCAAACCTAGCCTCAGCTGTATCCTATTGCTGAAAACTTTCCTTACAGTACATCCAACCTTTCCAGGCCTTCGGTATGTCTGCTTGTTCCCTGACTCACTCGGGTAAAATCTTGCCTCCTATCTTTCCTTTCTCTTCATTTTTTCTGCCATCCATTATTACTACTTTGCAGAAATATTTTACATTAACACTACTCACCCTCCTCTGTTGACACTTTGAAATATGGCATGCACCCAAGTTAATTTATTTTCAATTTATAAAACTGTACCCTTTGTGATAATATTACCCAGGATGTTCAAACACAATACAACGATATTTACTGAAGAAATCGAAACCAATAGCAGCTGGGAGAAATAGCTATTAAAATACCAACTGTGAAAGGACGGTTGTTAAGTATCTGTTTTACCCTCTGTCTTAAGAGAAGAGCACACAAAGGGTTTTGCCAAGCTGGGGGAGGAGTGGAGTTCCAAAGACAAGACATCCTGGGCAAAGTACTCAAGGGCTTCCGTCTCCCCGCAGACAGGTCGACTGAGGATTGTAAACCCGCAGTAGCAGTATCCAATGTAGGTCCCAGCTTTGTGAGCATGGCCAGGGAAAGAAAGGACTGCCAAGAAAATGAAAATAATTATTTCGGGAGTAACAACTCAAGAGTCCACATTATGACCTGTAATTTGAAGTCAAGGGGAGGCAAGAACAGAAAAACCTTCACTGCAATACCAGCAGCAGCTCAATGGCGGGGGCCCACTTGGTGGGACACTGGAACCTGCCAGTCTTATTATCACTTACATAAAGAAGCACATCCAAAGATGCAGAAGGAGGTGGAGGCAGAGCATGTACCTGCCTGAACCAACGTGGAATATGGGGAAAAGCGTTGGCTTTGGAGAATCCGGTGTAAAGCTGGCTCCATAGCAACTTAGTTATTTTAGGTTTGTTACTCCTATTCTATGAACTGCAGCAGCTTTCTTGTTTGCAAAATGGGGGAAATTAAAAGTGTCTGCTTAATAGAGTTTTTATGACAGTTAAATAAGATAATGCAAGGAAGGGCCTAGCATGTGTCTGGCCCATGGGAGATGGTTAATTAAAAAAAGAGCTGTTACGATTGTATTTGTAAAATGAAGTAAGAATACCCATTTCGTAGTGATTCTATACGAAATAAAACAATGCATATTAAAGTCTATAACATATACTGTGTGACAGATAGTATGTAATCAATCAATGTTAATTCACTCTGGAGCTACCGTTTCTTCTCAGTCTAGCAAATAATAAGGGATTTGTGTGAGTAGGGAAGAGAGATCCCTAAGGCAGTAAACAGTCTCATAGGCAAGTACAGACTTTACTAGCATTACAATGGTTTTCATCAGCATTTGAATGAAACCAATTCTTCCAATGTTTTTGATCCCTGGAATCTAACTGTAACTTAGCCTCAGCATAGAATTTTGTACAGTGAAGGCATTTATGAGACTATTGCCTCCAATGTATTCAGTGATCAAAAGTATTGGAAGTCTCTGTTGTAGCATAAATCTTAGTAGAACATAAATTCCATGACGCCTGAAACTTGGTAAGTTCCGTTTTCCTGATGAATCTCCAGTGCCTAGAACAGTGCCTGTTACACGGTGGAAGCTCAGTAAATTTGTTAATTGAATGAATATGGCTCACAGGCATATGTTATATATCAATATTAAAAAGTTACTGTCCACAAGGATTAGAGACAGGAAAACAGGCAGTGGAGATAATTGGAAGTAAAATGGTGATACATGCCATTGGTCTGACTCAGAAATACTGGAGATTCTAATAGAGGCCTTCATCTTCTTTAGCAAGGCTGTAAGATCCTCCAACCTAGATAAGAAACTCCCAAACACTCCCCATCATATTACTACTACTACCTTAATTTGTAAGTGCTTTACAGATTACAAAGTCTTTACTCACAAATTCTCTCATTTATAATTTCCTGGCTTACTTACACTTTATTTTTTTTTTGAGATGGAGTCTCGCTCTGCCACCCAGGCTGGAGTGCAGTGGTGTGATCTCGGCTCACTGCAACCTCTGCTTCTCTGGTTCAAGTGATTCTCCTGCCTCAGCCTCCCGAGTAACTGGGACTATAAGCACGTGCCACCATGCCCGGCTAATTTTTTGTACTTTTAGTAAAGACGGGGTTTCACCATGTTAGCCAGGATGATCTTGATCTCCTGACCTCATGATCTGCCCGCCTCGGCCTCCAAAGTGCTGGGATTACAATCGTGAGCCACCGCACTCAGTCACTTACACTTTTTATTAGAGTTCCTATTCTAGGCAAAGTCAGTGGGAGATTTAAAAATACGTGAGGCCGGGCACAGTCGCTCCTGCCTGTAATCCCAGCACTTTGGGAGGCCGAGGCAGGTTAATCTCCTGAGGTCAGGAGTTTGAGACCAGCCTGGTCAACATGGTAAAACCCCCGTTTCTACTAAAAATACAAAATTGGCCAGGTGTGGTGGCGTGCGCCTGTAATCCCAGATACTCGGGAGGCTGAGGCAGGAGAACCACTTGAACCTGGGAGGTGGAGGCTGCAGTGAGCCAAGATCGTGCTACTGCACTCCAGCCTGGGCAACAAAAGCGAAACCCCTTCTCAAAACAACAACAACAACAACATTAATATGATAGGATTTCTGCTCTTAAATATAGCTGGAAATATGGCAGGGCTGAGAGAATTCTTCAAGGGCAAATTTGAAGGGCAAATGCTCAGTTCGTCTGTCTGCTCCACCCACGCTTGTCCCATTTGTTTTGCCTGTACCCTGTGCTTTCTTTTATTTGCAGTGCCCCGTCACCGAGTCAGTCAGGACTGTGGTGACGCTCATGCCTGGGGTGCACAGCATGCTGGGTTCTAATCCTGCTGGCCATAAAGCTCCCACTCTTGCGCACAGGGCAAGGACTCTGCAAATAGGAAATACATCAACCATATTCTCTTTTCTTACGTACCAATATTCTGAACACATTTTTCTCCAGGCTGGCAAATGAAAATATAAAAGAATTGCAAAATGAAACAGGTTGCGCTGAAAGGCAATAACTCTTTCCTCCATTTTTAAAGAAGAAGAAGAAAAAATGGAGGATACAATAAAAATAAACACTGGATTCCCTCTTATTCCCTAGAGTTAGAAGAATTCTGGGAAATAATTCCCTGTGATAATAATTACATGCCTGAAGTATGTGAAGCTGTTTGAGAGACCGTGGGTTAAATTTAATTACTATGAAAACAATATTACCAGAAGACTGGATATGATAATAGAAGTTATGAAACAAGAAGTTCTTTTTATATCTCAGTTATTTTTAATTAATTAAAACAAAGAGTTATTTTTTCATACATTATCTTTCAAATTGGTTCTTCCGGCCTTCGAAAATCGTTGGTGAAACAGACGGTGGCATCTTAATAAAACAACGTATCCACAATCATATGGTGGCAGACACTTCCAATGACACGAACCTTTCTTATTCCTAGACCAAATTTTGCTCATAATCTGAGATGTCTCAATATCTGGGGTAATTTTCCCTTATGTTCTTATTTTTTAAAAGGGAAAGGAAATGATTTTCAAGAAACTATATTTCTAACATATCTTGTTTCCTGAATTGAGTCTAAAGATGGTCCCAGACGAACGATGGTTTGACTTAGGATTTCTCAACTTTATGACGGCATGAGAGCAACAGGCACTCTGTACAAACCATACTTCGAGTACCCATACAATCACTGTTTTCCACTTTCAGTACAGTGTTCAACAGGTTACATGGAATATTCAATACTTTATTATAAAACAGGATTTGTGTTAGATGATTTTGCCCAACTGTATTCTAAGGGTAGTGGTCTGAGCACATTTAAAATTGGCTAGCTAAGCTCTATGTTCTGTAGGCTGGGTGTACTGCATTAAATATATTTTCAACTTACGATGGTTTTATGGGAATGTGACCCTGTCCTAAGTCGAGGAGCATCTGTCCTTCTTAAAAACGCTATTGACATGACATCTCTGTAATACATCCCTTCTCCCATCCCTGTTCGTTCCTTAGGGGATGGACCAGCTCTGAAGATCTCAGGGAATGGGAAGCCAAAAGCAGAGGGGTGAGAGTGTTGGAAAGGAGAAGAGAGACTCCTCTCTGGGCCAGTTTGTGAGTTCAGCCAGAACACAGGAAGAAAGAGCTCCAGACCTGAGTCCCTTACTCTGTGATGAGAAGCAGTTCTGACCTAGCTTGGGATAGAGGGACCCGCTGTCTGCATGGCCACCTAGTGTGAGGCACTGAGAGGGCCACAACAACAGTGACGACGTGGGCAGATGGGTCAGTAGTGACAGGATGCACACATGGACGTTCAAATCATGAGGCACGAAGAGCCCATCTGCGCTGACTGCGGGCTGTGGTACAAGAGGTGCCAGGATGAGCGTGGAGCTTTCATGGCACTGATGGGGGCAGCTGAGTGTAGTTCTGAGAAGCGGATGGCATCTGAGGTGGGGTGGGGCAGGCTGAGGGCTGTTCTCTTGGTTCCTGCTGAGGCTCATCCCCTGCTAATTGTCTTCTCCAGATTATCCTGTTACTGCATGGCTATGCATTAGCTCTTTGTTTGCCTACAACACATATGTGACACTGATCCCAATGACAAAGAAATCATGCTGACTTCATTTGCAGGAAAATCTTTAAAAAAAAAAAATATATATATATATATATATATATATATAAAAAATAGGTGAATTTCTGGAAACAAAAAAGATTGATATAAATTTGGTTTGGGAAAACGGCACCTGATATTAAAACTCTATGAGAATCTTTCATGCTCAGATGTGATGAGGAAGGAAGGACAAGGAAGTGAGTAACTGGGCCTGAACATGGCCGCCCCAGTAGTTCACCCAAATCCCTTTACTCCTACTTGTTAATAAGCAGCATGCACACATGCAGCGTTCACTCAGCCAGTGGTTCTTATGCTTTGCAGTGTTCTGTCACTGTGGAAAGAGTTAACTCAAACACAGTTCCTACACCCACGGAGGATGGCAGTCTAGTGAAAATGTGGCAAGAGTGATGGGGACATGTTACAGCCAGGACTTTGCATACAGTGTCTGGAAGACAAGAGAGGGGCTGCCATAAACATAACTCATATGCATGGACTTGTGCACCCCACAAGCTGCCTGGCATTGATGCTGGGCTGACAGTGCTGAGCAAAAGCAAATCTAGTCCTCATCCTTGACTTCCTGGAGCCTGAGCCAGAGAACCACGATGCAGATCAGAACAAAATACACTTACAATTACAAGTGGTGTAAGTGTCACTATGGAAATGTGTATGGGGCTGTCAGCTTACAGGATTAGGGAGTGCCTTGCTGGGGTCCAGGCGAGTGAGTGCAGATCTTAAGACAGAGGGACAGCATGAGCACCAGGGAGCAGAGCATTTAAGAAGCTGGGAAAACGCCAGAGTGACACCACCATCCCAAATGGGAAGGTGACAGGACATAAGGCGAGAAAGGGAGGGAAACACAGGCTATGGGAAGGATTCTGGACTTTAGCCCAAGAACAATAAGAAACAACTATAGTTTTTTCCTTTTCCTGCTTCGTCTCTTTAAAAAATTTAAAAAAGGCAGCAGGGTGGTGTTGGGCAGTTTCAGAGTGCTTACCCAGAGCTGACCTGAAGTTGAATTTTGAAGGATGAATAAAACTTTGCTAATAAGGGAGGAAAGTGTGTTCCAAACATAGGAAGCAATATGGAATCACATGAAGGTCTATAGCCCTGTGGCACTATTAAGAATATGCAGGAAGTTGGATTTGCTGACATGAAGAGCAGACAGGAAGCGAGGGGGAAGAACAAGAGTGCCATGTGAAGCTAAGAATGAATTCCCTTCCAGAAACCACGTGGTGCCACTGGCACATCTGAAGCAAGGGGGGGGAGTGGCGGGGTGAGACTGTGCAGGTTCTGGAGTCAAAGATTGGGTTCACTTCTCTGTTCTCCTTACAAGGTCTTTAATTTGGAGAAACCACTGAACTTCTTCTTCCTAAGAATCCCCCAACTACCACATTTATCCTAGTGCCCAGCACACAGCTAAGTGAGTTGCTGCTGTACTTGAGAAACCTCACAGAGAGGAGGCCAGGGTACAGTGGGGACTGACAGTGGTATACAGACACAGCCATCCAAGTGAGAAGTCACGATGGGATGGGCAAAGGTAGTGAGGGTGAAGGGGAGGGAATGGGCCTGGGAGGTGTCCAGGCAGAATGCTGGGAAGTTGGGGCGAGGAAGGACAAATGCCCAGTTCCAGCTCTGGTGTGGCAGGTCTGGGTGGATGTGGAGCAGCTGCCTATGTACCTCTGAAGAACCCTCACAGGAGGCAGGTGAGTAATGTGTCTGGTATTTGGAAGAGGGGCTGGGGCTGGAAACAGAGACTTGGGAGTAAAGACAGAGGTGGCAATTGAAACCATGGAATGTGATAAAATGACAGGGAGAGTACAAAGAAGGAAATGGGTGAAGGACGAACCACAGAGATCTGAGGTATATGGACATAATTCTAGTACGTCAGAGCCTCAAGAGAAAACAGTCCTTGCGACACAGGAAAGGAGGCGTGTCTAACCCTCCTCTAACCCTCTGTGCTGAGACTGATGGTCATGGTCAGGATTCTGTGGCTCACAGCAGGCAGAGCTTGTGAGCAATGCCCCTTCCAGAAGGCTGCCTGATCAGGGTCTGCCCTGGTGTGGTTATACCCGCACTGGGAATTTCCTTCAAGTTTCAAGTTTGAGGAGAAAGCATGCTATGCTCACTATGTCAATGTCACCACAACTCCAGAGGCCCCCACAGTGCTGGAAGCTTTTGATTCTTAGTCTGAGGAGGAGAGAAACAGAACACTGGACTTCAGGACACAGTGAGTGCTCAAACAAGATTCGTTGGATGAATAAAAGACAACTGGACTAAGACAGGAGAATCAGTGATTCTTTCTGGGTCTAATCTGTGTGCAAGGAATTGTATTCTCATTTAATTTAGCTTTTTGTTTAGTCAAGGGCAAAGAAGATCTTAGTTAAGAGACACTTCTGCCTATAGAAGTGATATCTGGTTAAAACAATATCACTCTTAGGAATCAGATGTGGAGGACGGTTAACTGTATAGGGAAAATAACTGAGTGAATATGCAGAAAAAATGTATAGAATCCCTAAGTCAGTAACTATGTTACAGAGTAATATTCATAATTACAATGAATTGATCACATAAGTTAACTTGGAATAAACTAGGTCAAAGGGAGAGGGTGGTAAACCCTTTCAGAACATTACACCAGGAACAAAAGAATAAATATACACGGCTTAATACAAGCATCAGTGAGGTCTAATGAGGGCAGCAGTCATCCAATAAATTAAAAAAAAAAAATTACTCTGAGAGCAGACATAATCAACTAATTGAGCACTGAAGAACATTAATAGGCAAATTATTAACATTAATATAGAAAAGATACATAAAAATTGGATAAAGAAGAGAGAAATAAGCAGATATAGAGGGCTACACATTAAGTTAAGACCCAGATCCAGGTACCTGCTTTAAGATCACGCGTGCAATGTTCAGATGCTCTCAGGAAGTGACACTGTACGAAAAGCTACTCAAGGAAGATGTCTTCCTCATACCAAGAAGGCAGTGTCCTCTATGTTTGATGCTTCATTTGGAATGACTTTTCTTCTTCCAATGATATTCCCATAACCTTAGTTTGATTTGTTCTCTCTAATCCAACATATTCAACCTAACACTAAGGCCAGCTAATTCTGTTTATCAACATACCTCAAAGCCAGTCCCCTTCTCCCTGTGCTGTCACATTGCTCTAGCCAAGCCTCTGGCATCATCTGAGTAAACTCAACTAGGGCAACGGCCTTCTGACTGGCCCCCTGTCCTCAGCATCTTTTCTATATGGGGTGAGCTAGCTAAAGGAGTGTCTGCAATCTGCTGAAAACACCTGAATGGCTTTTCAATGCCAAGGACCACATTCTAGCATCTTATCTTAGCACAGCATATGAAGCTCTCTGTGATTAGCAGTCCCACCTGTCTCCACCCTCATCTCCCACTACATGCCATCAGCAAAACCAGAGTGTCAGCAAAACCAGAGTTCCTGACAGCCAACACCAACTACGCTGCGTTTCTCATCTGCTTCTGCCTCCCTTCCCCAGCGAGTCCCTACTAGCCCTTTATAGCTCAGGTCAGCCACCACTGCTTTCTTCACCTCTGATCCCCTTTTGGGTTAGGCTGCTGTCTCTCCTATCTGCTTCCACAATATTCTGTTCATTTCGCTATTGGTATTTTGTCAACATGCTGTTGTAGAAATTTCAGGGAATCTATCAGTCCATGTCCTGAACTACAGGTGCCTCTTGGGCAAAGGTTATGTTTTGTTTATCTCCACATCCTCAGCAAGGAACAATGAGTCTGGCACAAAGCAGGTACCCAATAAATGTTTGCTGAATGAAACATCAAACAAGCATCATATCAAAGCTACATACTACAGTGATAGAGTTCTTTGGATGACTAATAAATACCTGGTTGAGAATATGGTTCAACAAGTTTAACTGAGTTGGCAAAGTGACAGTTAGTTATGAGAAATTTCAAAGATTTGGCAGCTGGACTACCAGTGTAAGAGACAACTATGTAGTAATTAATTCATCTGTATCTACTGAAATACAGAAATGATTTTGTAGCACTTACTAGAATACCAAATATTCTGCTAGAAAGTTCTGCAACTGTAGTAGTCTCACTTTACAGATGACACACAGGGAGTATATGATTTATACCAAAGTCACAGAATAAAAAAGTTAGTTGGCCTAAAATTTGAGCCAAGGTTTCTTAAAGGCCAGAAATCTTTCTAAGTCAAGACTGCCTCACTCATGATACTCATCTGTTATAGTGAAAACAACATGTAAGTCAAAGTAGTTCAGGAGTCACAATTTTGGGGAAAGATGGGGTGAAAAGAAAATTAGGGGAAACCTCTAGAAGGAAGTCACTGCGATTTTTTTTTTTTAATCACGAAAGATCATTTCTACGAGCTGTGTTTTAACCTCAAAATGCCTGAGTTAAGAGAACTATTAATACAAACAAACAGAATTCCAATGAGAACCTATGAAACCACACAGATGATTAAGATATCACAGTGATACATTATGTCATAACCTTGGCAACCTGCATCCCTCTCACAGATCCAGACAACAGCCAGGAGGACCCGCCTTAACTGAGCCGAACTTTGCTAAATCTAGAAACTCTCAGCTTGGCTCATGTAACTTACCTAGTTTTATTACTTCATTTGGTTTCTGAAGGTCAGAACTTTCCTAAATTGGCTAGGTACCAGTTGATTGCGGAAATACTAAGACAAATGAAATCTATGATCTGATGAGGTGGGATTCAGTGTGAAGAAAGGGGTATACAGGAGCAGTAATATGATATGAAGTGCCTTTCATCCTCAGCAAAGTCTGCATGTGACTCTTGACATGAGTCATTAAGAGGTAATTTCCTATTAGGCTCATGATAGCCATCTTCAAAGAGAATGTTTTGTAATTATACTTTGCATACAAAAGAGTATCATCCTACTGCAACAAAGAATAATTTAGAGATACTTTCAGAAAATTCTATTTACTTATAATCGTACTTTCTGGCCTAACTTTACTCCTCATTTTCTTATATTCCCTTTTATTTTCTCTTTGCTTTGATTCCCTTATTATTTTTTAATTATAACAATTATTTTATTTTATTATATTTTACTATATGTATTTTTGTAAGTTTTAAAAATGCTTTAAAGGCCAAGGCAGAGTATAAATAGAATAAGTGCAATTTAGAAACTCTTGTAAACTACAGTTAATAAATCAGCAATGACACACAGATCTAATAACTTTTTGACACTTCGCTTTAATATCTAGAGTAAAAAAGAATGTTATTTTTCACCCCAAAACCTTGGCTGCTGAATATAATTTTCTCAATATAAACATCTTAAATATTTTCTACTCTAAGTTAACCGTACTGTTTTTATTTTTTGAAATCATTATCCTTAAACCTGGCAGAACTTAGCAACGTAAGAGAAAAAAAATTTTTTTGGAAACTCCAGCATATTTAACAATAATGAATAATCTTTCAAAAGTCTAAGAAACTGTTTTTAGGCACAAATGAATTACCTCTAGTTGCCTGTGGTGCATTGTTGAAGAGGTCAGGTAACAATAGTTCTTTGTAATATAGTGCCACAGGCTCTATATGAAATCCAGTCACACAAATTCAGAACAAATGTAAGAACTGATTTGGAAACAACTGAGAAAATTTGACAAAGCAGTCTTTTTCTCTTTCAATTTTCCCTTCCTTTACTATGTTCTTACGTATGGTATAATTAAAGAGTTAAAGCAATTTTTACCGATATGTATGATGTGTTCAACATTTCACAGTGAGCAAAACTCTTATTTGGCTGCTGAAAATAGAATACAATGTTATTTTAAAAATATTTCTGTAATATAATATGTGACAGCCAAAACATTATGCAAGGTGTCTCCTCAGCCCCACTACATTCTGCAGATCTCCACTGTTTGGGCACTATTTCAATTTGCATGCTTCCTCTGTGAGTTTCTTGAGCTGTCCTTATATGCACATTTCATATGCCCAACCATACTACAATCTTGTAGCAGCAGGGCCATCTTGTGTTTGTATTCTACCTATTCCTAGGTTCTAGTGTGGTAATACATACACACACACACACACACACACACACACACAGTGAATGTTCAAGAAATATTAGGAAGAAATGGATTTGTTGATTTGTCTCAAAGAGGAAGAATATTTGGCATTAAGGCTTTCACTGTAGCCGCCCTGTGGCGGTGAAAGGTGCTTGTGAATACTATTCAAATTAGGGTTGATATTGAATTAGTCTGTTCTCACTTGACTGGATAATTTATGAAGAAAAGAGGTTTGATTGGCTCACGGTTCTGCAGACTGTACAGGAATTGTGATGCTGGCATCTGCTCAGGTTTGGGGAGGCCTCAGGAAGCTTACAATCAAGGCAGAAGGTGAAGGGGGAACAGGCACATCACATGCCAGAGCAGGAGCAAGCAAGCGAGGAAGAAGATGCCACACACTTTAAAACAACTGGATCTCATGAGAACTCACTCATTATTGTGAAGACAGTACCAAGGAGAACGGTGCTAAACTATTCATGAGAAATCTGCCCCCATGATCCAACTACTTTCCACCAGGCCCCACCTCCAAAACTGGGGATTACATTTTGGCATGAGATTTGGGTGGAAACAACATCCAAACTGTATCATTACTATTCATGCTAGCTTTCTTGATCAATCAGTGACACATAGGGTGGAAGAGGCAGTCACTGTTAAAAGATTCGCAACAAGGAAAACATGCGAAAGAAATCCTTTGATGAGTGAGAGGGCTGCCTGGTTCCCATTCCAAGAGCTCATGGTTCTAATTCCTCAGCTTGCCAATAAATCTGGATTGCAACTGGTAATATATTAAAGAGTTCCAGTGGCTCAAAAAGAAAACAAGACTCCTAAACATGAATCATTATTTAGTTCCTTCATTAAGACTGCAATCACAGATATCAATAATGTTTCATTCAGTTGTGTAGTACATAGTAATCGAGATCTGACGTTGATCAGTACTTAGGAATCATACCACTCATGAAACTAGGGAGCCTGTTTAACCATTTCACCTGTAAGGAGGAACTGTGAAAATAAATTTCCTCGGGTTGATGTTTCTACAGATTTTGCAGGCTTAGTCACAGGATGCACGGGTGCAGGAAGTTTCTTCTGAAAAGGACGGGGTTGTGGAAGCAGCAGCCCATGGGGAGCGAGGCGGCCTTCTAATCCCATTGTGCCCTTGACCAACTGTGAGGCCAATCAAGTTGCCTCCCCTTTCTATCCCTCACTCTGCTTTGAGACCTATTTTGTTACTTACTGAGGATTTTACCTAGCACTTAACATCATGGCATTTAGCTCAGTCCAACGCTTCAGCCACAGTTACCCACATCTGGTTCTGATACACACTTTGCATTTTACTTTTCACATGCCTTACTGTCTTTGCCTGGAATGCTCCTCCATCGCATGTCCACCTCTGTGGCTGACACAGACTGTTGCCTGACCAGTAGTTCTTCCCACCATTTTCTCTCTGCTGTCTTTTCACTAGAGAAGCTAGAATAGCTGTATCCTAATTTTCCAGCCTGTTGTTTACCTAGTGATATAAAATGTAATGATTAAGTTTTGGTCAATGAGACAAAAGCAGAGTCCTCCTGGAAAGCTTTACCCTTTCCCGGCTGTGACTGCCCTTCTTCTTCCTGACTAAACAAGGATATATCTGGAGCTTCAAAAGCTGTTTGCAACCATCAGGCGTAAGCCTGAGAGGAACACTGAGACTCACACACACCTCACGTTTTCAAGCTGCTAAATAAGCTCTGGCAGCTACATACCTCTAGACATTTTCTATGTGAGAAGAATAAGCCCCCAATTTACTTAAGCCCGTGTAAGGGCTTCCTATGACTTCTGGTCAAAAGCATTCCTAATTTTAAGTTGGCACTTAGGAGACCAGCTCCTGTCTATGGCCTTTCGTTTGTACTTCATTGATAAACTTCTTTGGGAGCTTGTAATTTTTTACCCTTAATAGGGGGCTCATTTTGATCTGCAGCTCTTTGCACAATGCTTAGTGTATAACACATTAATAAAAACTCAAATATCTGATGAAGAATTAGGGAGTTCTGACACTACATCTGATATGCATTTGGGCATCACTTTAGCCTTTTCTCAAGTTTTACAATAACATATTTCTTAATTTGTAAGAGGGATACCTCTGAATACAATTTTCCCTTGCATTTCAACAATGAATATTTATTAGGTTGGTGCAAAAGGAACTGCAGTTTTTGCATTGTTGGAATTTGCTGTTTGACACTGGAATACATTCTTGAATAAATGTGGTTATATTATACATCATTTTAATGGGCAATTCTCAGTTTATTTTTTTTTTTTTGCTAATGACTTGCTGTTTATATTTATTTTAGACTATGGAAATGAAATGATGTCAGACAAAAAGCACATTTGAGCAATTTTCTTATTTGAGCTTCAAAATGGGTCAAAAAGCAGCGGAGACAACTTGTGACAATGCATTCGGCCTAGAAACTGCTAACGAACGTACAGTGCTGTGGTGGTTCAAGGAGTTCTGCAAAGGAGACGAGAGCCTCGAAAATGAGGAGCCTAGTGGCCGGCCATTGGAAGTCATCACCGACCAATTGAGAGCAATCATGGAAACTCATCCCCTTACAGCTACCCAAGAAGTTGCCACAGAACTCAATGTTGACCATTTGATGGTCATTCGATTTGAAGCAAATTGCAAAGGTGAAAAACCTCGGTAAGTGGGTGCCTCATGACTGAGCAAAAAAAGAAAAAAATTTGTCATTATGAAGTGTTGTCTTCTCTTATTCCATGCAACAGTGAACCATTTCTTGATCAGATTGTGATGTGTAATGAAAAGTGGATTTTATACGACAACGGGCGATGACCAGCTTAGTGGCTGGACCGAGAAGCTCCAAAGCACTTCCCAAAGCCAAACTTGCACCAAAGAAAGATCATGCTCACTGTCTGGTGGTCTGCTCCACTACAGCTTTCTGAATCCCGGCAAAACCGTTTCATCTGAGAAATATGCTCAGTAAATCCAGGAGACGCACTGAGAACGGCAATGCCTGCAGCCGGCACTGGTCAACAGAAATGGCCCAACTGTCTCCATAATGACCCTCGACTGCTGGTCGCAACACCAATGCTTCACAAGTTGAACAAACTGGCCTCATCCACCACATTAATCTGACTTCTCGCTAACCGACTTCCACTTCTTCAAGCATCTCGACAACTTTTTGCAGGGAAAATGCTTCCTTGACTAGCAGGATGAAGAAAATGCTTTCCAAGGGTTTGTAGAATCCCGAAGCATGGATTTTTACACCACAGCAAGAAACTTATTTCTTGTTGGCAAAAACGTGTTGATTATGATATTTCCTGTTTTGATTAATAAAGATACAGTTGAGCCTAGTTATAATAATTTTAAATTTATGGTCAAAAACCGGAATTACTTTTGCACCAATCTGCTACATAGGTACTGTGCTAAGCACTAGGAATAGAGATAAGACAGAATTTCTGCTAACTGTGTATGTGTGATATGTGCCCTAATAAAGGTAAGAACAGGTGCTTCCTCAACATCTGCTTATCTCTTGCTTTACCCAGAAACTGGCTGTCAGGCTTGGCACATAAACTCAACTTTCCACCCTCTCATACTCCACCTTACCCTCTTCTCCTTCATTCCACTCCTGTAAAACGAAACACCGTTCCAGCTGTGCTCTCAGGCACCACTTTTCACCTCTCATGGGGTCCTGCTCTAGCGTCATCTACTTTCCTGTTTTATTAACCAAAATTCCGGTGGGAGGTGGAGTGGGTATCTATACTCGTGGGAGCAATTTACTCACTTCTGATTCAACTCTAAACCCCCACAATCTGGGTTCTGCCATAACCACTTGACTAACAATGCTGCCCTGGTAATGGTACCAGAGGTCTCTACACTGCCCTCTTTATGAACTGGATATTGCTTAGACAAGCTACACTGCTGGCCACAGCTACCTTCCCCAAACATATGACTATCTTGACTTCTGCACCACTACTCTTTACTTGGTCTCCTCCCATTTCTTAAACCCTGCAGTAGTTAGCCAAGAGACCAGGCGGGGGTCTCTGAGACCTTTCACGGATCCACCAGGAAAACTATTTTCATAGTTATCAGGAAGACATTGCATTCTCTTATGAGCATACAGGGGAAGTTATTAGATACTAAGCGACACGTGATATAGCAACAAATTGTAGTTAGCAACAAATATAAGCACCCAGTTGTCTTCTATTAAGCCAAACATGAAAGAGAAGTGCACAAGTGTCAAACTATCAATCTGCTAATTTAGGGGGAGGAAAAATGGTTATTCTTCATAAAAGTATTATTTAAGATAATGGATTTAGTCATTTTAAAATAGGTGTTTTTAAAAGCTTTTTTTTTTTTTTCTCTAATGTGATAAACGTGTCCCACATACACAAAAGCTTTTTGGGGTCCTCAAAAAGGCCTAATACCAGCTAAGTTGAAGAACCACATTCTTAAACTTTGTCTTCTTGGCTCTTCTTCAGCCAGCTCCTTCAATTTTGATGTTCCCTAGAATAGCATCTGTAGCTCACTAATTTTCTCACCTTAAAGTAGGATTTCTCAATCTTGGCATGACCAACCTTTGGGCCAGCTAATTCTTTGTCAGTGGGGGCTGTCCCCCGTGCATCCCTGGCCTCAGACGCCGTCCCCCGTGCATCCCTGGCCTCAGACACCGTCCCCCGTGCATCCCTGGCCTCAGACGCCTAGCACCCCCTTTCCAAGTTGTGGCAACCAAAAATGTCTTCAGATACTGTCAAATAAAATCACCCCAGGATGAGAACTACTAACCTAAATAGTATTCCTAGATAATTCATCTAATATCTAGGTTTTAATGTGACTTACGGTGATAATTCCACTTATCAAGTACCTATTCTGCACCAGGGACTATCCTAAGTACTTGATGTACATTAACTCACAACGGTGGTGCTGACTACAGCCCCCATTAACAAAGAATTAGCTGGCCCAAAAGGTTGGTCATGCCAAGATTGAGAAATCCTAGTTTAAGGTGAGAAAATTAGTGGTTACGGATGCTATTCTAGGGAACATCAAAATTGAAGGAGTTGGCTGAAGAAGAGCCAAGAAGACAAAGTTTAAGAATGTGGTTCTTGGCCAGGCGCGGTGGCTCACATCTGTAATCCTAGCACTTTGGGAGGCTGAGGTGGGCAGATCACCTGAGGTCAGGAGTTGAAGACCAACTTGGCCAACATGTTGAAACCCCGTCTCTACTAAAAATACAAAAATTAGCCAGGCACAGTGGCAGGTGCCTGTAATCCCAGCTACTCGGGAGGCTGAGGCAGGAGAATCGCTTGAACCCGGGAAGTGGAGGTTGCAGTGAGCCAAGATCGCGCCATTGCACTCCAGCCTGGGCAACAAGGGCAAGATTTCAACTGGAAAAAAAAAAAAAATGTGGTTCTTAAACTTACTGGTCTCAGGACCTTTTTACACTGTGTGAGATGGATCAATTATGACTCTCATTTTATGAAGAAACTACAGAACAGAGAGTGATGTGACTTGCTCGGGGTCACACAGAGCTGCTGTTGCTGACTACTGCGGTGCTGACCACTCCTCTGAGCCTCAGAGCCCTGTGATTAACCACCTCTGCTGGGCATCCCAGGGGAAATTTACACCCAGGATACCCTAAAAATGAACTAAAAAACCCTTTCTCCACAAGACCTACTTCTGCATTACCTAAGTTAGTTAAATGTGCAAGTTTAAATTCACCCTCTCTGTGCTTTAGCTTCACCAGAAACCTGGATGCCATTCTAAACTCTGCTTGGATTCTCTTCTTCCTTAGTCCTCAATGCAATCATTCGCGTTCTAACAATTTTCCCTTGTAATGATTTCTCAAATACAACATTTTTCTCTATCTTCCACTATTCCGGTCCTTACTAGTGTCCTAATCTCTACTCTGCACTGCTGTAATCAACTCCCATTTGATGTCCTTGGCCCCTCAAAATCATCTTCTACAATGCTGCCAGAGTGATCTATCAAAAAACGCAAACCTGGTCACGTCATGTTAGTGGCTGCCTGTGAGCTAAGGGTTAAATCCAGGGTCCTCAGCATAGCCCCCAGACCCTCAAATCAGTGGCCCTCTCCAACCTCAGTGCCTTCCTGTCACCCCCTGTATCATACTTCTCTCTCTGGCAGTGCTGTGCTGTTTGCCTGCCTGAGCACAACACGCTGCTTCATGCCTTTGATTCAACGTCACCCCTTGGGAGGCCTTCTAGATTGTACACCCTGTGCATCCTTCTGTCACAGCACTTAACCCAGTCTGTGATAACTATCTCTGTACCTGTGTCCCACATAGGCCTGTAAAATCATTGATAACAGGTGCCTAGCTTAACTCAAAAATCTCAACTTTCTCTCCCCAGGGCCTGGTATAGCAGGGGTCCCCAACCCCGGGGCCATAGACTGTCAGTACTGGTCTGTGGCCTATTAGGAACCAGGCCACACAGCAATTGAGTGGTAGGTAAGTGCGCATCATGGCCTGAGCTCCATCTCCTGTCAGATCAGCTGCGGCATTAGATTCTCGTAGGTGCACCCATTGTGAATTGTGCATGCAAGTGATGTAGGTTGCATGCTCCTTATGAGAATCTAATGTCTGATGATCTGAGGGGGAACAGTTTCATCCTGAAACCCTCCCTTGACCCGGTCCAAGGAAAAGTCATCTTCCATGAAATTGGTTCCTGGTGCCAAGAAGGTTGGGGACTGCTATGGTATAGCACTAGGCAAAGTATGCTTCAGAGAAGTTTTGTAGAAGCACTGAGGTAAAAGAACGACACACAGCAATGAGACCTGTTTGGGTGGCGGGAGGGATGGGAGTGGAGGCTGTGGGATGAAGAGAGTTGGGAAAACTTTTGTTCAGAGAAGGTCACAATTGAGCTGAATCTTGAAGGAAGAGGAGGCACTCTAGACAGGGTAAAGGTCCCGCTGGATAGAACAGTACTTGCAAAGGCCTGGAGGCCCAAGAGGACGTGGCACATTTAGGAAACTGCAACAGATGATGACAGAGGACAGGATGCACATGTGGGACTTGGGCTGAGACTGGAGGAGCAGACAGGGCTCCTGCTATCAAAAAGTGGCCTATATTATAGGTCTTGCAAGAGAGTTCCAAAGTATTTATTTCACTACTCCAATTACTTTAGGCACCACAATTCGCAGGGCATTAAAAAATGCTTACTAGTCTACTTTTGATTACTTATTCAGCACTACCTGTGTTAGTTTTGATAGGTAACTTAACCTCCCTGTGCCTCAGCTGCCTTACAGGGTAATAAAAATAGTACCTACCTCACAAGATTATTGTCAAAACAAATGTGTTAATAGACGTGAAGAACATAAGATAGCAGTGGTACACAGAATTGATAGTGGATGTTGTGTTGCCATTGATTTGCCATTAGTGACAAACAGCTGCTGAGATTAGAAAGGACAAAGGGACTGTTCTTGAAATTCACAAGACACAGCCTTAATGTAAAAGAAAGGCATATTTTATAACAAGTAAGTTTATCTAGGGAGGTAATAGTAGCAGGTATTTAGGTTTTTAGGTCCACGATCTCAGGCAACAGTATAAAATGATTACCAGACTCCTTTGGATAATATATTTATATTTGGATAATAAATTTAGCTTAAAAGTATATGTTTATAAAGTGTAATTTGACCAATTATTTTCTGAACGCATATGATCTTACAGTTGCCCATACTGAAACCCATTTTCAATTTGCTGCCTTTCAGGTACAGCCTTGAATGATTTTCCTAAAGTTTGAATGATTTTCCTCTTCAGTTGGCAATTACTCATTTGAAAACACTTGGGCCTCATTTGCTCATAAATCATTTCCAAACAGAATTTCAGAAACGGAAGGGTCCTTAGAGATTGTCTAGTCCAACAGTCTATTTCATAAACAAGAAAACTGAAATACGGAGATTGAATAACTTGTCCAAGTTATAGTCTTCGAGGGCTCCACCTTGACTTTCCTACATGCTCTCACGTAAGACTCTCCCTGCCAGTGTGAACTGCCTACTGATTCCAAGTCCTTGTGTATCCTGAGTAAGCTTTATGACAAACTATCTTACTCCAGACTATGGTGAAATCAAATGCTTTCTATTTATTTCACTTGCATATTTCATGTGTTTCCTCAACAGACTTGGTTAAGTACTTGATGCTAGATGTTTGGTTAATTCTTGCTAAAGTTCCACCAGTATGCCTATTATTACACTCTTTATCCTCCAGAGTCAAAGTCATTAAGTAAAATCATTCTCTCCCATGAAATTTAACCACTTAACTGGGTGGATACAACCTCAGTGGCATGACACAGATGCTGTTTTCAAATTTGCAGGGTGAGTACATTTTCTAGGCAGGTTTCTAAAAATTTGAGAATCATTGCTTAAGAGGCTTAGTGTTCCTGTCCTCCGACCGAAGTTGTACTGGGCAGACCCATCTCAGGGCCTGCCAGCTCACACACCTGGTGGAGCGCGGCCTACCTAACCAGGTGTGTTCCAAGGGTAGGCTCTGCTCTTATGACATCCAATCCACAGTCTGGCCAGTCACCTAAGGGGGCCTTGGGGTAAAGAGATGAGTTGATCTAATCAGATTCTTTCTCATGGGAATATGGCTCAAACTCGGAGAGGAGCAGGTAGTTAGTAAAAACAAAACAAAACAAAAAACAAACCTAAAAAAAATGCAGAGAGAATCCATAAGAAAATGATGGGTCACAACCAGCAACACTGTGAAAGCAGAGGTTCTGAATTACAAAAAACATACAAAGAGTAACAATAAAAGACTCATAGGCAAATAGGGAAGTGGGGAGGCGTGGGAAAAAGTGAATGTGTTATATTAACGATGTAAGAGTTTAGGCCCTCAGTATTCTGCTGTCAAGGTCCAGGAAGCGGGATCTCTGTCTGGTGAGCCAGGATAAACTGTTCCAGCTCTAAAGCTTGAGACGCTTTTTCCTTTACCGCTACACGTTTCCACCGTACCCTAAATAGAATGGATTTGATTCTTGCAACCAAAAGAACTCATTACGACACCCAGGAAATTTTAGGGAGGTGCTAGAGTGTGCCTTCAGCTTTGTCGCTGTGTGCAACTCACTGGCCACTTCCACTCTCAACTCTTCCAGCTCAAGGGAAGTTTTACATATGCAACACATTGGCCTTAACTTCACCAATGGCTGATTTCCATCCTTTTTTTCTCTTCTGCAGAAACATAACACTAATCATGCTCCTAGAACAACTACCAAGATAGTCGTTAGGGGGAAAGCGTCACAGGACATGAACGTCTTCCCTGATAGAAACAAGGGCTCCTCCCCGAGGTCACAGAGGCCACACCTGTAGGTAGGACCACGCTTTTCGATGGCGGAGCCCGGTCCTTGCCTCGCGGACGCCGGCGCAGGAGAGTGGCTCCCAGTTCCCGGGGACATTCCGCGGCAACCCACATCCCCGGTCCCCGGCCCCTGGCCCCCGGTACCCGGTGCCCGCTGGGTCACCTGTAATTGTAGGAGCTGAAACGCTTGCTCTCTCTCAGCATCGCCCGGTACAGATCTAACACTTGTGCGCGACTGGAGGCTGCCATTTTGGAAAGAAAAAAAATTAACGGGTCCTCTTCGCCGAGGTCCCAAGTACGACCCAACCTCGGAACTCCAGCCTGTGCAGAAACCACGCACGAAATAAAATGCAGCGGCTCGACCTTGCCAGCGGGCCGGTCCTAAGCCTAAGCCGGCAGCCCTGCGGACCGCAGACCGCGCCGGGCGTCCCGCGCCGCTTCGGGGGGCGGGCGAAGGCAGGGCTCGGGGCAGCTAAAGGGGCGGTGCAGGGAGGGAGATGCCTCCGCCCCGCCCCGCTCCCGCCTCCGCCCCGCCCCGCTCCCGCCTCCGCCCCCGCCGGGAGGCTCGGGATCCAGCAGCCGCTCCACGCGGCCGGAGGGCGAGAAAATAAGAGGCCCGGCTGCCCGTGCATCCAGCCAAGCTCCTGGGGGACGGATATTGGAGGTCCGGGCATTCGAGGGACGTGCAGTTGCATCACGGAGAGCCTTTGCGAACCGTCTGGGGTTTTGGCGGAGACATTTGTGTTTCGGGGCGCAGCGCCCCTTTGTACCTTTAGAAGGCCGCGTTGCCCGGGTTACCGAAGGCCGCCGCGTCGACGCCCCGCCACTGACAGCCGATGCCCCGCCCACGCTGGCGGCGGCCGCCCTCGGCGCTGCCTGAGAGACCTTGCGGGATTTCAAGGGTGACTTAACTTCGCCCGATCATGGTCGGCAGGGTGGGATTTATTGACATTCCTTGGGCCGGGGGATGCGACGTCTGGGTGTGGAGGTGATGAGACAGGGGTTCCGTGGCACTCCGGCTCTGCTCAGGGCGACCTGCTTAGGGGCCTCCGGGGCAAGGCCCGCTTTCTGTCAAAATGGCAGCGCCCAGCGTGCACGGGTATCTTTGAAGTTGGGGTTTAAGATTCTTGCCCGTGAGAGCCAACGAGCCTGCCGTGCTTCTGATTTTGAAATACCTGGGTCTGGGTTTCCCAGGCGAGCGGTGGGTGAGTGCCGACCTCGTTGCAGCCTGGGGTAGGACGTGGGCGGTTCGTGGGGTTAGGGGGTTACATTGGCCATGGATTTTTTCCTCTTTCCGGATGTGTTTTTGCTTTTGAGTGAAGAGTCCCCGTGGTTTTGTAGTCTAATAAATGCGTAAAATGCAGCTTGGGCTGTAGACTTTGGAGAATAATTTGAGCCCGTTAGGGCTTTAGGCGTTCTCCAAGAAGCGGAGCAAGTTTTCAACCATGGCTTTCTTCAGAAGACTTCAACTTTTTTGAATCATTTTATTAAAGTGGTGGATAAAGTTGCTTTTTCTGATCTTTGAGCATGGGACTGGACGCTGGAAGCTTCAGCCAGTTCTAGTTACTGTGTTTGCAAAGCACTTTTCTTGTTTTTGTAATCTTGCTTTATGTAATCAACCTTAGGAAGAACCCCACCTTTCCGCACTCTAGCACAGCGAGGAGTACCTTATGCGTAAAAACAAAACAACTTTGCATTAAAATCCATCTTTCTCCCAACCGCTTGGTCACGGTTGTGTTCTCATCTGCTTTAGTGTATTTGGTTTTAAAATGATAAACTTGCTGTATATCTAAGCAACTTTATATTTTCAGGAACTTTTTTTTCCCTTTTATTTATTTATTTATTTTTTTGAGATGGAGTCACTCTCTGTCGCCCAGGCTGGAGTGCAGTGGCAGGATCTCGGACCCACTGCAACCTCCGCGTCCCGGGTTCAAGCTATTCTGCTGCCTCAGCCTCCCGAATAGCTGGGATTACAGGCGCGCGCTACCTTGCCAAGCTAATTTTTGTATTTTTAGTAGATACGGGGTTTCACCATGTTGGTCAGGCTGGTCTCGAACTCCTGACCTTGTGATTCGCCTGCCTCAACCTCCCAAAGTGCTGGGATTACAGGTGTGAGCCACCACGCCTAGCCTCTATTTTCAGGAACTTTAAAGGCAGGAAACACTTCTCTGACCTTACCATTCTTTAGTGTACTTGCAACCTGGTGTCCTTGCATCCAGATATTCTTATTAATCCTGGTGCAGTGACATTTTTTAAAAGGCACTGAAGAGAAAATACTTTCATTAAGATACCTTTAAGTCTCCTTCGTGACTTCTTGACAATCTCATGTCTGTGATTTTGTTTTTGTTTTTTTGTTTTTTTTTCAACAGGATAGCAAAACTTCTGTTACTTCCTGGTTGGCCAGGTCGTTGAGCAAATCTACCCTCGGGTTTATTGAAAAGACTTTTTTGAGTTTTCCCTTTGGTATTTCTTAAAGGATCCAAGACGAAGGCAATTGCACATTGTTACAGAGTAAGATTCAGAGCTGATTTCTCTTGATACACTGTTGTGTGCTGGTGATATGAAATGATATGCGGCACCTTAAAGCTGCAACATTAATGCAAGTTGCTGATAGAGAATGCTCTCAGAGTGAAAAGGAAAAACTTGAAGATTATTTTGGCTTGTTTAAAAATAGCAAGGATTATGTTATTTATATTTTGCTTTTGAGAGTAAAGTTGGAATAACTATATACAATTGTTTCTACCTAATTATCAAGGAATTTAATCATTAATGTATATGGTATATCTAAATGACTCAACTTTGTTGTAATCAAATAAAACTTTTCCAAATAAATATGTATAGTTTAAATAGTTTGGGTAGCTTAGTCCTCCGTTAGTACGAGCAATGGTTGCAGTTAGGAAAGTGATAGCTTCCCGGTTAATTCTGAGCCAAATCTTCACAAAAATACCTCATTATTTTATTTAAAATGGTTTACCAATGTGTTGGACATCATTGCCTGGAGAAACTAAAAGAAAATAATCATTCTGAAGCTACATCTCACTTTTGCACATCTTCACTGCAGAGATTACGTAAAACAAAACAAAACAAAAAAAATTCTATTTGAGATTGTAAGTAGAATTGGGCCAGAAGCAGAAGAATGGACCTTACACATATGTCCTTTAATATGCATTCTATTCTGGGTTGAAATTTTTCTTAGCGAATATCTGTAAAGTAGGAGGTACCATTTAGGCATCAAAACATAAAAATTTCTTTAGTATTCGTTTATTGAAAGTTACCGACTACCTGTAGTTCTTTATGTAAGATCATTTATTACCTTCTATTAAAATTAGGGTTGTCAATGACCACTTAATGCTTTATGAAGAGAAATTTCTCTAATCATAAACAGTGTAACAACAATTTTCTGTCCTTAAGCTTAAATATCAAAATGATGTATAAAGTAAAATTTGTATAGTGGTAGTAATTTATGGTATTATTTAGAAATTACTCAGCTGGGCATGGTGGCTCACACCTGTAATCCCAGCACTTTCGGAGGCGGAGGTAAATGGATTGCTTGAGCCCAGGAGTTTGAGACTAGCCTGGGCAACATGGCAAAACCCCATCTATACAAAAAATACATCATAGCAAAACCTCATCTCTACACAAAAAATACAAAAATTAGCTGGGTGTAGTGGCATGTGCCTGTAGTCCCAGCTACTTGGGAGGCTGAGGTGGGAGGATTGCTTGAGCCCTGGAGGTTGAGGCTGCATTGTGCCATGATCACACTACTGCACTGTAGCCTGGGCAATAGAGTGAGACCCTGTCTACCAAAAAAAAAAAAAAGAAAAAAGAAATTATTCTATTCTACACCACACATGAATCCAAGTATTATACATTGATCCTTCATTTTAATAGAACATGAAGGGGAAAGACCTTAGATACCAACTCATTCGTTTGTACAGATGAACAAACTGAAGCCTTTTTCCTCATTCATTCATTCCTTCAGCATTTATTGAACACTTCCTGAGTACTATAGGTTATGATTTTTCTTTTCTTTTCTTTTTTTTTTTTTTTTTGAGACAGAGTGTCACTCTTGTTGCTCAGGCTAGAGTGCAATAGTGCAATCTTGCCCGGCAAATTTTTTGTATTTTCAGTAGAGATGGAGTTTCACCATGTTGTCCAGGCTTGTCTTGAACCCCTGACCTCAGGTGATCCACCTGCCTGGGCCTCCCAAAGTGTGGGGATTACAGGCGCAAGCCACCGCGCCCAGCCCATGAGTACCATATGTTATATAAGACGATATAGTTACAGTGATGAGAGCCTCCCCACCCCTAAGAAACTTGTACGTGACTAGATAAGCCAAACAATAATTTATTTTATAGAGACAGGGCCTCGCTCTGTTTACTAAGCTGGAGTGCAGTGGTGCGATCGTATCTCGTTGTAACTTCAAACTCCCGTGCTGAAGTGATTTTCCTGTCTCAGCCTCCTGAGTAGCTAGGCCTATAGGCTCATGCCACCATGCCTCACAAATTTTTAAGTTTTTTTTTTTTTTTTTTCTGGTAGAGATGAGATTTCACTATGATGTCCAGGGTGGTCTCAAACTCCTCAGTGCCTCTCCTGTCTTGGCCTCCCAAAGAGCTCAGATTATAGTTGTGAGTCATGCATGGCACTTGGCCAGTAATTTATTTTTGACAGTTGCTGTGATATGAGTAATATTAGCAAACACTAAAGGAATACAGAAGAGGAATACTGAGCCAGGACTTTCACCTGAGGGAAGGCTTTCCATCGTAGAAGGTGTTTCCAGAATGAGAAGTAAGAGCCAGTTGAGGAATGTGGTTGAAGATTGCAGTGTATATTCCAAGCATGGAGGAAGAAGGGTGCTTGATCTATTTAGAGAACTCTGAGTGTTTTAGAATGGTAGGAGGTGGGAAGGGAGGGAGCACTGAAGTGTTTAGCCCTGTACTAGCTTTATTTTAGTGATGTTGTGTCTCTTTCTGGAATAAATTATTTTTTCCCTTATGCATTGGCTGAGTCATATAAGTAGAACGTAACAGCTGAGCTGTTGAAATGGAAGATTATTTATTTATTCGGGTACTGATAAATACTTTTGTTTCAAATCATGAATTTGAATCCTATATTCCAGGGGCACTGAAATGTTATTTATTTACCTGTGCATTCAGGAGATAGCTGGCAGCCTAGCAATTCAAGTTACTGTTCTTGTGATAACTTGAGGGCGATATATAAATCAAACACTGATCCTGTTTTCCAGAACTTTATAGTTTAAATGCATTTGTATATGATTAAAATGAGGTATTAGGTTGGTGCCAAAGTAGCTGTGGTTTTGACCATTACTTTTAATAGTAAAAACTGCAATAACCTTTCCACCATCCTGTACAAAGTGCTGCAAGGAAAGGGCTGGTGAAGTGTTGTGGGGTCTCAGTGCAAGGAGAGGTCACTTCCTTCCCTGATGCTTGGGCCACACCTCAGACCAACAGCATGGCTAAGGCCCAGGCTTCAGAGAATTTTGTTTAATTTTTTAAAAAATTCCCTCCATGACTGGGAATAGCCAGGGCTGAGAAACATTGACCTGAAGGAATTAGGGGGCTTCATGGAGGAGGTAGTGTTTGTGTTGGGCTTGAGAGGATTTAAGTTTTTCCTGGGCCTTGAAAGGAATGGAAGGATTTAAATGTGTGAGTGTGGTTGTAAGATGGCTACTGTAGCCCTTTACCTTGAAAGGATGAAGGAGAAACCCTGGTTGAGATCTAAGAAAAAACAATCATAACCTGCAGAAGGCTTTGGCCAGAGCTGTAGAGTGCATGAGGGTGAGAACAGGGAGATCCCGTGGAAAGTTAATACGTCGGCTTTCCTATGTTTTACGCACGAGATGAGCTGAATCCTGATAGGACTTGAGTTAATCTTTCCATGACCTGATGGAAGAGCTGTGATCTCCATTTAAGATAAGTGAAGCTGCCCAGGTGTGTTGGCTCACATCTGTAATCCCAGCACTGTGGAAGGCCAAGGCGGGAGGATCACTTGAGGTTGGGAGTTTGAGGCCAGCCTGGGAAACATAGCGAGACCCCATCTCAATAAAATAAAATAAAGAAAAAAAAAAAAATGAAGCTGAAGCTGAGAGTTTATTTAGCCAGGGTCAGACAACTGGAAAGTAGCTAGGGTGGGCCTTGCCCTGAGATGTGATCTGTCTAGCTATGATGCAACACTGCTTCACGGA